CACTCACGCGTTACCGACTGACACTGACTGTATACAACTGAATAAAATAATTGTAAAAACATCGTTCCAAATTCTTTCGCTTTTTTGTTTCCGATGCAATGAACCGATAAGGCGGATTATATCCGTTGTCGCCAAACACGAGCACATAATATTATTATTGAGACAGGGCGGTACTCAAACTTCCAAAGGGCTATAACTTTGTTACTTTAATTTTACCAGAAAAATGGTAAAGGAAAAAACATTTCTTTTGATCAGATCTACTCACTGTTAAAATAAATGACTCAACTTCGAAGTCAGTATTGTATAAAAAGGAAATATCTTAACCAATAGACTAGTAGTAAATAATGACATTCATTGGTCACCATAACAACAATTTTTAATAAAACCTATGAGTTCCACAGTTTTAAAGGCGATTGGAATTCCAAAAAGTGACGAAACAACCGAGACAACGTTTTGCGGTGCCGGTTCTTCAGTCCAGATCAAATCGCAAGACTCCAATTTATCTTTAATTTCTCTACTCAATAACTCTCAGACGCCTCAAGGAAATCCAAAATTAATGTTGTAGGACGATCAAAAATTTAAAAAAAATATGACCACATCAGCTCTTTGCTCAGAGACATGGAATGGTTGAGAGTAAAAAACTGTTCGAGCTACACCTAGTTACTTACACCCATAGACTTTTGCTCATTCCCCCGCTTTTGAAAAATAAGCAGATATCTAGAAGCAATATTAATTCTAAGAACATTCGATTCTCAGGTCATGATTCTTCCGTAAATGCTATTTTTTATAATGCTATATCTCGAGCTTCAAAAATTACTATCATATGATGAATTTAAAAGACACATGAATAAATTTATTTTGAACAAGAAATACACAAATCAGTTGCTAAAATGTACCTTTCATCTCACACAGATATTACAATATAACATTATTTTGGTTGTACAATTTTTTTTTACCTGAAATATTGAATATCATCCACTTTATCAACATTTTTGCCTACTTGTAACTTATCAAATGTTTTTATGTTTTTGTATTCATATTGTTTCAGTTTTTTGGGGTTGAGTGGCAGAATAGCATTATGTTAAACTTCGCCTCTTAAATAACGACGATTTATTTATTATTACTTTTTATTAGCCTCATGGCATCGTTCTCCACATCCATCAAAGCGTATGAGTTTTTATTTTTCGCATTTCCCATGAACTTCCGAACGGTACGAGCAGTTGCCAATAAAACTCCTCTCTGCATCGTCTTGTAAATATTGTCATTATTATTATTCCCTAAAATACGGCAACTCACCGGTATTTTGGCCGGCAGGTTACAGCTTCAGCAAGATCACCGGGAACTTCAGCAGTAGCAGGAACTGCGGTCACGAAACGTCACACGCCGAGTACCAAGTAGTACCACTAGCACCAGCAGAAGCCGAAAGAAGAACCAAAAGGACCAACAGAACGACGACGGTCAAACGGCGAGCGGCCTTCCTAGTCGTCTTCTTTATACGCTGCCCGCCACCTCTTCGATCTTCGACGGTTACGCACTCTTCGGAGGCCGAGGCCTAGGCCATCGTCGCCGACGAGCCAGCAGGAGTCATTGTCAAGTTCAAGTGCGGCCGGAGGAATGCCGCAGCGCGAGAAATGGCGGCAGATGAACAGATGGCTTCATTGTATTCACAAATTCATTGATAATTTTTTATAAAGTAGTTTTCAGTGAGATTATTATTATACATAATCGAGTAGCTGATCAAAATCGATGAACTCCAAACAGAGATACGAAAGATCTTGTTAAAAAAGAGTTCGTCGTGCATCCATCTATCGCAGTGTTTCCCAACCTTTTTTTTTGTTGAGGCTCTCCGGACTATAAATTATATTTTCATACCCCCCTTTACTTTTTCAATAAATACATTCTAATAGAGGAACTTTAAAAGTTTAAATAAACTAACAAGGGCCAATTTCACCAACAACAGTCCGTTATTCTCCACCTATAGGGTAACAGACCGTCAAATATAACCAATGAGCTTCAAGTTCCAATCAACAAATTTTAGCAACCAATAACTATGAAATGTTGAAAACAAAATACTGTCAAGGTATGAGATGACAGCTTGTCATTGAAACATCACCAGCTTATTGAATATTAAGAAATCACATATAATTCAGTCAAAATTTAAAGAAATGTTGGATTTTTGAATAAGATTCATCATTTAATTACTATTGTTGATTTTGTATTCATGTTTATATTATTTTCTTCAATTGATATAAACTGGGTATTTTTTCCTATAAACCTCTTGCAGATAGCCATTAAGCACCTACTTGATGACAGGCTCTACCAAAAGATATTGCTCGTTTCCATTCATTCATTTACTTGCCGTTCATCAGAACTATTATGGCACCTTAGATTGATATTTCCACAAAACCATTAAGGTTTTTTGATATCCATACATCCATAAAGTTGAATATTTTTCGTTGTTCAGGAACTGAACAAACATCCATACTATATTCACAGCGATTAAGAAATTCCCAAATATATGCCTTAGAGCTACCAGAAAACCTAAAACCTGCAAAAAAAACTACAAATTTGCCATATTTTTCTTTTTTCACGAGTACACATTCTAGGTTATATTTATATTAGACATTATTTAAATACAGCTGATTATTGCATTTCAAGGAGTAACACATGTGTGGGATGTGTCAACTCTTGGTACCAGTTACAAAACATATACTCTGAAGATTTAATTCCATGACAACACGGTGACTTGTGTGGTTGTCAGCGGCCATTTTGTGAGGGTGCGACAGGGTTTCCAGATTGTGCATTAATATCCCGTTTCACCCTCCTGGTCCCAGTGGAGTAAGTTCCGCCAACTGTTGAAATATACTCTACTATGCTTTATATGACTCTTCGTGACATTTTTCCCAAAATCATTGCACAACACTTGAAAAAATACAAATGAAAATTTAAAATTATTTCCATGACGCCGCAAATAGCTCCGTCGGTACCTTGGGTTATACATCTTGACAGTAGGGATGTTCGATACGATCCTATATTTAGAAGTATCAATACATTTCACGAGTATCGTCATCTTTCGATCCGATCTGTGTCAGAAAGAGTAACTGCCATTTGGCTGCGACATTACTCTGCCAAATCAGACATATCTTTCATCATTTTCAAAGAAATTCTACAAAATCTTCAAATTTGTGAAGTTAGCGAGTTTCACTTCATACGTTGTTACCAGGCACGCCCAAATCATCAGTTGCTGCCGTGATATTCATCCTGACTACTGCATCCCCACGGCTAGGCGACCTGTATGTTAAATTTGTATTGATAGGACAGCGGGTTATGCTATAAATCATATGTCATGGTGTTTGTGCACTGATTGCAACGGTTAGATGATACCAAAAATATTTTCAAAAATAAGAGATCTTTCCCATTCTGGATCGAACAATCTACCATAGATGCTTATAATCATGATACCTAGTAAATTTTCACGAAAAAAATTCAAAACCAGCAAATGTAAAAGATTCATTTCGCACGCTCCACCACGGGACGTGATCGTCGTTAGACTTGGCAACCCTGCAAGTGACAGGTAGATATCCTCGCCAGTCAAAAAGACATTATTTGTGAAACATTTTTCATATTTTTTTGTCTATGTCCATAGTAATTGCATTATGCATCAGGGAGATGTAGGGATTGACACGTCTTGCACATATTATCTGTGTTTTAGGATGGAGAGGACATACTGTTTTTATTGCTTCGAAGAAATTCATTAATCCATAAATTAATAAATGATTACTATTATGACGTAAAGGAAGATGAGGAATTGGATGGAATGTATTTTATATTTATATTATAATCCTATTTTCTTGCAAAATACAGACAAATCCACACTATTCAACAGGCATGTAATGATAACTTTCAGTATATTGAAGTTGGCAAATTCGAGAGTGCCATGCATTAACAAACGTCAAAATCTGCTGCCAAATTTAACAGCTAGAAAATCGAAATATTATTTGCCGCATTCCCATTCGCTGAGGGGGATAACGGATTGTTAAATGTGTTTTTTCTGTATAAAAGCATCATGTTGGAATCAAAAAGTGGTCTTCTTTATAATACATCGAATTTTCACGATTTTATTCAATATTTCAATAGAAATCACTAATATTCAGAGACATTTGACAGGTTCTGTCAAATTGCATTTCAATAAGGTATTTTTCCATTGGTCCATAATATTAATGTTGGTGAAATCGGACCTAAATGTTTTTTTATCAAAAAACTTGAATAAAGCAAGAGTAGGTACTAATGAGACACTTGAGATTGCATGTTCTGTATCAGTTGGTTGATTCTAGGTTCTGTTTTTGCCCGAACTATCATCAGGTCACTATCGACATCAAGACGATTTCGCTGTTTAGTTTTAATTAAAACTAGAGCAGAAAAGCCTGTATCGCATAAGTAAGAACTAGTATTCGTAAAGCAAGAGAGGCAAGTGTCGAATTAACAGGCAATCTTTTGATCCAAAATTTCTCCAATGTTAGAAGATGGAAGTCATCTTTCATGGACGAATCAGTCTGCACTTCTAGAAATTCTTCCTGAGCTTCTTCTGGTAATTGTGACATATCGACAACAAATGGATTTCTTGTCATGTGCCGTATTGGTGACTCTGAATTGATGTCTCGATAGTATCGCCGAAATTCGTCTTCCAGTGCTTGCAAATGAGTTTTTATGTCAGCTTTTAAATTTTTGATCAGTATGTTATTTTTAATTGTTTCGAACAGTCGAGAAAAAGATATAACATTTTCAGAAGGCACTTTTTGATTCCAAAGTTGAAGCTTTGATATGAACCCCTGAATATAATCATAATTGCTTATTATAGTGTTGTTTCTGCCCTGAAGTCTCAAGTTTAGCTCATTCAAGGAGTCAAATATGTAAATAATTCAGCCTCCATTGAAATATACATTGTCAAGAAATCGTGTTTTTCTTTGAACTCAATAAAAAGAATTACATCTTCTTTCAATTCATAAAGGCGATCCAACATGTTGCCTTTGGACAGCTAGCGTACTTCTGTATGGAACAGAAGGACTTTGTAAATCAGAATCGAGATCCCCGCAAAGTAAAGTAAATAACCGACGCGACGGTTCCAAGCGCTGCTCTTGATGTAGTTTACAATCCTTATAGCCGAGTCCAAAGTCTGGCATAATTTCTGAGGCAATGTTTTGGAAGCCAAAGCTTACTGATGAATAACACAATGTGTCTAACCATTCCGGGATTTTTTTCCTTGAGCTTTTTAGCTAATCCCGATCGTACACCTATCATTGCAGGTGCCCCATCTGTGCAAAGTCCAATGAGTTTCTTCCAATCCAAATCACTTTCTTCAACAAAATTTGATATTGAGTTAAATATATCTTCAGATTTAGTGCCTGCTGTCAAAGATTGGGAGTACAAAATCTCTCCTTGAATAATATCTCCGCCGATGTAGCGTACATAAACTATTAACTGTGCGCAATTAACGATGTCGGTGGATTCATCGCAACTAATGGCGATAATTTTACTTTGTTAATTATTTGTGGCTTTATGTCTGCTGCAATGTCATCAAATCGACGCTTGACTGTGTTATTCTTAAGAGAAATGACTTCATTTTTTGCTCTGCATCTTCTCCTAAAATTATCTGCGAGGGTTTTAGGACACATGGTTTTAATAATTCTTCACCGATGGTATGAGGTTTCCTTTGCTTTGCTATCATAAAAGCTATTTCAAATGAAGCTTTGAGATGCTGTGTGATAACTTCCCGATTCATCCAGTCTCATCCGCTTGAGTGATTCTGCTTTAGAAGAAAAAACTCTTTCGTCTTCAGAACCAGAGTAGGATGTTGTTGCTTCAAATGCCTTTCAATGCGATTGGGCCTCATGCTATCATTACATACTGAGGCAATTGTAACTCGTGTTTTTCTGTGAAGGTAAATCCAAACTTAACGTAATCTTTGGTAAACTTTATTTTTTCGCTGTTATTTTGCAATAACAATAAAACAAATAAGTAATAAATAAATAAGCAAAATACCTACATGTAATTAGTAATTATATGCCCATTATTTTATCTTAATAACGTAATGTATATTGGCCACCGGGAGATTTATATTTTTGAAGGCAGGTTGCCGTTATAATAGTTATTTTAAATACATTTGGAATCAATATTAGGTACTTAAAGTTGGTTCAAAATTATTTCGCCACGTTGGTTTGATTGTGATGTGGTAAAAAAGTCTCAATGACCGATCTATGAACGCGTCTCCACTCAATCAACAATGTAGTAAATTAAATAAAAATGGTAACTGAAGTTTGAAAATACTCAAACTTACCTTACCGTTTAACAATGAGACACAATAATTTGACATACTCAAACAGATTTCTTAACAAAACATGTACATCTAAACGTCAAATTTTTCGCAAGTTTGATGCTCATCCGCGTCTGGTAGGTACACAATTGTTTTCTAAATGATGAATGTTAAGCGGAGGGCGACGAGGTGCGCGCGGATTTCATGTTGCGACTTGTTGAAACTTGTATAAACTGCGATTCACGACGCCGGGTTTTAAAACAGCGGTTGACAGAATAAGTGAATATGATATTTAATTTCTAATTTTATGCGTGTAAAGTAAACATTACAGTGTAATGTTTTTGCTAATGTTGTTTGTTAATTTTTTTTTTTGTTTTTTCTTTCTAAAATGCAAACGCTTTTCGCCTCCCTTAACATCTCTCTATGCCCCCTTGGGAGGCGCGCCCCCCTGTTTGGAAACTACTGATCTACCGAAACGATTCTTGAACCTGTTCCAGTATCAAATGCTCGGTTAGACAGGAGAAATTTTCGGGGGGTAGTTCGAAACTTCTCTTTAGTCCTCGCAGGTGGTTGGTGTAGGAACAGAAAGTGAGGATGTCAGTGCCGAAGAAACTATGCAAAGCTCTGTATGTGATTATCAAGTCCCATCGTAAGCGTCTATCGGAGAAGTGAGTTAAGCTTAATAGATTTAGCCTATCCTCATAACAAGGTCGTCGGATGCCGTAGGGATGCGTGTAGCCCTCATCTGAATATGTTTCAACAGGTCTCGGACACATTGTAGCGTTGAATAATAAACAGGTCAAGAGAATCCCATAATGGGCCTAGGATGTGACGTGTACGGGAGATCAGCAGTAGAACTGTCAAAGACCTTAAAGGATCTTTCAATAAGGTACAGACTCCTTTTGGCCTTAGTCGTTGAGTATCGGATATGCACGGACCATGACAGACTATCAGATACAATTTCTAAATATGTGTGACTGAGAAGGTGTGCGTGTGGTACTCGATCGAACGCTCTGGAAAAATCGAGGGACATTACATGTACAGATATGTTGATATCTATTATATTTGTCCAATCACATTAAGCAGGATTGTGATGTTAGAGCGACTCGGCAAAAAAACATGTTGACTGGCTGGTAAGATACTATTTTCGGTAGCAAACTTGAGCATTTCACCAAGTATTATATTTTTTTCTACTTTAGCAATTATGGGAGTGAGACTGATGGCACGATAGTTTTTGTACTGTATCTTGAAAATAGGCGTAAGGCTAAGTGTTCACAAGCAGACTAAAACCTCAAGAGATGTTTGTCTTATGAGAAATTTATCTCGGATGTGTGTCCACTGAACATGAGAATCTTTCTGATACACTCGAGTTAGACTATACTAAGTGACATATAAATCCGAACACCCAGCTTAAATGGTTTTATTTTAATAAAATTTTGTATAAGTACTTAATGAAGCATAATAAGTAAATGGTAAAAATTTCAAAATGATTGCACTGCTTTAAAGCCCTTTGACCTTTAATAATGTGTGGATGCACCCTGATGTGCTACGCATTCTCCAACGCGCCTAGGCATGCTTCTGATCAGGTGGTCAATGTCCTCCTGTGGTATCTCATTCCAGGCAACCACCAACTCCTCTCGAAGTGCTTCTAGAGTCTGAGGAGGACGTTGCAAATTGAGCAATCTCCTACCCATCATATCCCACACGTGCTCAATTGGGGATAAGTCGGGAGATCTTAGTGGCCATGGTAACAATGTGACATCATTATGTTGAAAGAAGTCTATTGTGACTCTTGCAACATGTGGTCGGGCATTATCTTGTTGGAAAGTTGGATCTGCCAGGGTGTCAAGATAGGGTAAAAGATGGGGTTCTAGAACTTCGTGGATATAACGCTGCCCGTTAATATTACCTCTGATGAAGATTAAAGGAACCATAAGCTATAGCACCCCAAACCATAACTCCAACAGTGTGATGAATATGTCTTTCAACAAAAACTGTGGATTCCTCTTTTCGCCACGTCGCCTTCTAACCCTGGCACGACCATCGTGCATGCCTAAACAAAATCGAGACTCGTCACTAAAGACAATACTGTTCCATTCCTGATCACAGAGTGACCGTTGTCTGCACCACTCAAGGCGATTACGTCGGTGTTCTCGAGTTAAAGGGAGGACCCAGTGTGGCCGGTATGAAAACAAGCCAAAACTGCTCATTCGTCGGTAAACACTTCGCATGCCAATAGGTCTTCCGTATTCTGCAAACCATTCATTTGCAATGGACCTGGTAGTGCAGAAACGGTCCCTTAAGGCCAATAATCTTAGGCGGCGATCTTCACGGTCTGTTGTTCTACGGCGGCGTCCAGTGCCCCTTGCTCTTTGCGTACGGCCTTCTCGAAGCCATGCCTGACAACACCTAACCACAGTGTCTACACTTCTTTGCACTCTAACTGCAATTGCCCGAAAAGAAAGTCCAGCTTCCCGAAGTCCCACTATACGGCCCCTATCAAACTCGCTAAGTTGACGAAATCGTACAGGTCTCCGTACTCTAGGCATCGTAACCGATCGTAAAGGATGTCAAGAACCAAAATCCGCCAGCGTTAATTCTTTACTGCGGCTGAAATATTCATTTTTAGAGCGTTAGTGAATTAAAAAAAAGCAGTATAAAAACCGGAATGTCCAACTGATAAGGCTGAAAATTTTTTCACTTGTTATTTGCAGTAAGATAAATACATTCACCAACTTTTATTAAAATAAAAGCATTTAAACTGGGTGTTCGGATTTATATGTCACTTAGTATATTTGCAATTTCTGCTCTCACATGTCACATTTGTCTCGTGAAAAAACGTGACGGAAACAGGTCAGGAAAAAGGTCATTGATTCAAATGAAACGTTAAGCACTTAATGGTATATGTGCATAAAAATGCTCACCGAATGTTATTACTTGAACAATATGGTAAAACTGATGTTTCTGTGAAAATAATTTTAACAAGTATTATATGGGAATCAAATAAGCTGCCAATAATCTTCATAAGGGAATGAAAAAATCCGTTCTCTGTAAAGGCAAAATTTCCAGGTTGAGCTAGAATCTACAACTAAAGATTAAGGATCAATATTTTCGTGATTCCTAAACATTTCTAATAAGATCCTTGCCCTATATCAAGGTCAACTCTCAAATTTTTGATCGACCTTACAAGGAACCATTGGCTTACCTGGAAACACTACTAAAATCTAAAGAACCCGTAGATTTGTTTTTCAGATACTTTGCCATGCGGGGCATGTATTGCAAGCTCCAAAATCATCCAACTATATCATGTAAAATGTACCGATTTGGGAGTCAGGATTGGGTTTTCAAATTTTGGTGGATGTGTAAAATGAATATATGCGCGTTCACCATTTATTAGCATGGAGCTAAGGTTTTCGCATTTTGCGTATATGTAAGTATCTCTCAGCAAATTTCGAAATTCATGTCCATTGATGCTAAGTTGCATGGATTTATCATCAATTTAACACTTTTATTATATCAATAAGTATCTAACCTGATATTTTAGAAGCCAAAATGTGGATAATATGCTGACAAAAAAAATACGATTAATTTTTTAGTGTTAAGGCTATCATCTCGTCACTGGGTCCGAAATTAATAATAAAAGAATATATACAATCAAATCTGTTCATATTCTTATAAATTGAATATTACTGAAATATTTGGTAATAAGTATGGATTGTATAGTCAAGCTTTCATTGCTAAAAAATAAATATGTATATAAAAAAATCTATTTAAACATTACGTCCCTTGAAATGAAATCATTCCGTCACCCATTATAAATATTCGATATGTAGTCACATCATTTGATATTTTTGATCGCAGCTGTTATGTTTTTAAAACTTGGCAATACTGCTAATAATGTCTACATGGCGGAATTTCGTAATAGTGAAAAGAGTTGCCGTAAAAAAGCATTGGATTTCGATAATTAGATCATTACATTTCTCTGTGTCATTACCTCACTGTTTATATTAAAAGGTAAGTCATCACACTGTTCGAATGTTTTGAAGATTTTTTCTTGTTTTGGGGAGTACAATGCATTCAGAAAATGCTAAATCAGTTTGAGGTGATGTACTGATGTACAAGAAGGAGTACGATAGAAAGAGGTGAGAAAAAATGAAAAGTAATGCTGAGTCTTTAGAAGCTTTGCGCGAAATAGGAAGATTAAAGTATTTAAATAAGAAGAATAAATGTCAAGTTAAGTCAATAAGTTCTATGAGTGCAAGAGAAGCTAGCCAAAAACGAAAACAATGAAAGAAGAATAGTAAACTTTATGGGGAAAAGCGAGTTACATTACACACAAATTTACAGAGTTGAAGAAACACCCCCATCAAGTCCCGCACCATCTTTACAGATCATAGCAGAGAATTTGTCTGGTTTCAATAGACGTAGAATGCGCAAGCGGCGAACTATTCTGTTCGCGAAGATAAAAG